ACAAATTTTTAAGAAAAAAATTATTTTCAAAAAAAAAAAATAAATCAAAATCAAATACTTCATAAGTTTTACCAAAAATATATCTTCATATGCTGTTTGATTTATAGCATTGTCATATTTTACAATATTAAATTGTAATATTTAGATAGATATATGTAGTAGAGTTGATCTGCAAGAGATGCTACTTAGAACACAAGTGGATCCGATGCATGATTTAGTATTACACTTACTAAGGGTTGCTATAACCTATGCATTCTCGATTTAAAAGTTACCCAAATCGTTTACCTCATTCTGATAGCAATTACTAATAATTCTGTGGATTCTTCCATGAATTATTTTTCAACAAGTGTTGCTGGTCATCTGCGTAATAAATTAGAGTGTAATAATTCTTTCTCCTTTTCTCAGCTTAAGATACTAACATCATCAACTAGAATTCTCCCTGTTCATAATCCTTTCTGCATACTAGGCATGATCTTATTATATGGAATATAATAATACCGATTTTGGTGTTACTTAAGTATTATTGTGTTCATTATCTGTGTGGATTAAGAACCAGATTTATTTACTGTTTTCGCCGATGATCCTATTATTTCAACTCAATTTTTTTTCAGAAGAGAACACAATATCGGGGATTTACAGAAGATACATATGGGAAACGGCAGTACACCGTAGATTTACAGGTACTGATGGGTATGTAAATACTTAGAAAGTACCTTATACATTTTATGACAACACCTTTATTAAAATACTTATGTGCTCAGAGTAACAACTTTTTACTAAAATACATATAAAATGATTTTTATCGAACTTTATTAAAACTACTTCATATCCAATCTGATATTCATGTTCTGTTCACAATAATATATACATGAAGAGTGCTACATTATGTACTATCTACCATGCGTTAGACATTTTTAAATGTCCTCTTCGCGCAAAACAATAAAAAAATTGTCTATCATACTAATACATATATTTAGTAATTATTAATATTTTAAAAATTTAATAATTCCATTTTGTCATAAATGGTTATAGTTAGTGATTTGCTTTTATTTTTATTCCAAACATAATGCCTTCAATTAATTAATGAAATTATCTTAATTAAAAACAGTACATAAAATACCAGTAAAAGTTTAAAAGGTGCAGATAACACTCTCAGTATCACTATATCATCTAAAAACTAAAATTTAAATAATATTCTCATAGTATGAGTATTAGAGAATATATCAATAATTTTTAATGATTTGCTTCCCAAAGATCGAAAGACTTAAGCAACAAACTCGACAAAGTTTACCTTATTTGGATACAAACCTTTGACTTAAACTTATGTTGTTATAAAAATTTGAACAGATAGAAAATATTTAAATTTCTTTATAATATTACACTAATATTATAATTTATTACTAATACAAAAAGCTTTTATTAAAAGTTTTAATAACAGAACAAAAATTAATATAAAAATATTATATTAATTTTATATTTAAGTTCTCCGGATAAAAAAAAATATTTCAATTAAAAATATTTTTAATTTCACTGTGTATTGTTCTAGTAATATATCAATTTAATAATTTTTTTTATCACGTATCTATAATAACTTAAATAAATCAACTAAATGAGTTCAATGTGCATAAAAAATAAAGTAATAAAAATTTCATCAACATGTTATTATCAATTGAATCTTCCACTTAATTTCAAATCAATTATAACTAAAATGTCAAATCAAAATTTTGGCATTAATTAAACTGATTTCATATATTTAATTTATGCTCAACTTTGTAACACATCCATTTATGTGTAATAAACGAAATGTGTTGATCACAAGTTTGTTGCTCCCGTCACCGATTTTACCAATTTACCTCATAATTCATACTTTTCTTTTTGCAGTTTCAATACATCATCGTTAACCTCATCATCGGCTCACAATAATTATAAACATTATGACCATTTTCAGCAACATCATCATTATCTACCGTCTATCATCTATCGTCTATCGTATATCGCCTATCGTCGTCGACAAAATGGAATGGTAAATGTGGCTCAACTCTTCTCTTAATTCGCAGCATTGCATAACTGTGACAGTTTGAATCTGAGTTTTGTTGCTTTCAGCTGTAAAAACCGTTTTCGTATAAAATTTGCTCATTATTATATTATACAATTTATTTTCTTAAGCCGCGAACACATCAGAAGCTTTACTCGTGAATGTTTGAGGTGTGTTTTGTTAGCAAATTTTCAAGAAAACTGCGTTTAAATGCATGAGAAGTCAAATTATGGAAATCTGAATTGGGCAATACCTCTTAAGTGGAATTTATAAAAACAATCTAAGATAACAAACCTATTGGGCGGAATCTACAATATCTACTCACATATAACCTATGTATGTTCTTAGTTTTTTTTTCTATTTTTCGTCTCTTCACGAGGTTAGAATTTGTATCAAGTTTGTTGATATGTTACTAATGGGAGACTTCGGAAATCTAACATAGTAAATTCATATACGAATGTTCTTGATCAGTTCAGCAAAATAAATGGATCATATTTGATGTTTGTCGTCTCTGTCAGTCGATTTCATCTCTGAGTTTTAGTTTAATCAAATGTAATTTGTTGAATAAATTTTTTAAGTAATTCTCTCTTATATACCTATAGTTGAAATGAAGATAAATGTTATGTCATGAGTGTAAATATTATTTGAAATATTGACTTTTCATTTGAATGCGTTCGGGTTGGTATATAGTTGTGTTAAAAGCAAATATTTCAGATCCTGAGATAATTAACATAATAATTAATTCATTAATAAATAATCAGTCAAATTAGTAAGAGTCTTTTCTCTCAATTGTGATTTGGGATTTGATGAACATATCTCTATTGCATTTATTTAGCCATAACAATCCGTTTCCAGCCTAACGCAGCATATCTAGTCCGGTTAGTCCCCTCAACTTGATCACTTCACCGGACACACGTTCTACGTCTATGCCTTATTCCTCCGACACCTGATTCAAATACCTTTTTCGCTGGAGCATCTTCATCCAATCTCACGATATGCCAAGCCAGCGAAGCCGCTGGATAGTAATTCGCTAAATTAATTAATTCGTGGTTCATTCATATGCGATAGTCGACGCCAAGCATTTCTTTTGAGAATAGTTTTTAAATCATTAGGGTTTATACAATAGAAAATGTGAACACAGATTTTTCACTTGATATGATTTGCTGATTTGCTACAATATTTTTGATATTGTAGATATTGTCATTTCAGAAATATTAAAACCTGAACTCAAAGGTTTAGTATCAAATTATTATAGTAAAATATTATATGCGTTCATGAATGCATTCACAAATTGTGAGTTGATTGAATAGACGAACCGAAAACCATGCTGAAAACCAGGATTGAATTGCACATGTCTTCTCTCCACTCTAAGATTCAATAATAATTTACACAGCTTGTGAAATGATGGTAAATACAATATTTGCTAGTTATTGTTTGTATTATACTCACACTTAGGCGTAGTGAATAAAATAAGA